TTTCATTTCACCATCTTACCTTTTCAACTTTGTTCCAAAAAGCATTTGATATATGTAAGAATATCTATAGTGCACAGTATCCAGAAACTGAAGAACARATTCTATTTTTTCAAATTAGACTAACAGTAATTTTATGTTTAATGTTAGGAACTGCGCATACCTAGTGATGTCTTCAGTCAACTGTGATGGATCAGGAGGATAAAACTTCACATTAAAGGTGAATATCCAAGGTAAACCTAAACACGGAAAATATCAGATTGTTAATCTCAAATAAGTTGAAGTAAGCAAAGAAAAAATTTTACTGAGAAATGTTAGACAGTAGAATAAATCTTAATCACTGAATCTCGAAGAAAGTTCTTTCTGCTTTTTTTTACTGTACATTAGTAAGAAGCATAGATTATTTTCATTAGCAGGTAGAAACCCACAGACAAAAGGAAAGATTAGCATGTTAAAAATTACTTTTAAATAACATTTTACAGTAGGTTACGCAAATATCAGATGGCATTTTTAATTTGAAAACTACCATAATATATTAACACTTCTAAGATGTTGTGTGTTCAAAGGCATTGCATTAAATTTGTGTTTATTTCCAACTCCTCCAAGGCCAACAGTCTCCTCCTGTCTAAACTGACWTAGTCTGAGAGACTGTGCAGTAACTGTGAAGATGAGATGTCAAAATGAGCTTGATGTTGTATGTAATAGAAAGATAATAAATTATTCACTGAGCCTGCATGAAAGACAAAAATATGAGCCATTCCTACTTTAAAATAGTTTTCAGGGAGACAGGACATTTAACTACTATAATAGCGGTGAATCCTCATGTGTTAGAATTATTAATAAAACATGCATTTTTTTAAGCAAGAGCATGCTTAAAACTAATTAATAATTTGAAAAAGCATTAAATGTTGCCTTTATTCACAGTTCTGTTTTTAAATAAATTTTTAAGATTTGAAAGCTAAGTCACACATCAATACTTAAAATACATTTTCAGGATGCTAGAATTTTGAACAGCAATTATTTTATAAATCTGTGTCACACAGATAAATCATGCTTTGAAAAATGTATTTCTACAGCAACAAAAAAACCACYGAAATGCCATTTCAAATACAATGCTAGAAAAAAAATGAGGACATAGTTATTCAAGGTTACTTTAAAAAAACCTGTTCTGAAATTCCATATATGCAAAAGACAAAGAGGTGTGTCAAAAATTCCAATGTCTTCTAACATTTCAAAAATTATTTTGGCTTTTGAGGCATGGCAATTCACTGAAGCATTTCAATTTTTGTTTAAGTGTGAACCTCATTCTACACTTGGCACTATTTATTTTTGAGAGCTCAGGGTTTTACTGTATTTTAACATTCCCAGTAATCGAGTTTGTGTTAGAAAAATTAGAATTTTGTGTACAAAATTAAGGCAAAACCCGTAAATCAGGTTTCATTTACCATTGCATCATCTACTGCAATGCAGTGCAAAACAGAATTAAGACAAAAATACCTTTAAAAAAAAAGTCTAACAGTAATAAATACATACAGCATAACAAACACAGCTAAAGATGGAATAGATTAGCCTACTTCCATCATCTCCCAGGGGATTAGCATAATTTAATGGAAAGATGCTGATATTGAGTAAAMCAGACTGATGAATATGAGCAATAGGGCTAAAATATCTATGCAAAAGCATTTAGGGGAGAACTGTCATGTTAACAGAGCTGTTGAGAAATGGATGAAGGATGTGTCCTTCCACWTAAACCAGTCTTCAAGCTCTTCCTGGTCTAAAATTGCAGTTAAACTAGTCACATRTGAATTCCTATTTAAATGCTGCTCTTTCTTGTCAGCATTTCTACAGCTAACTTCCAGAAAGCACTGCAGCCAGGAGACCCAGACACGGTTTGAAGGGAAAAAAAAAGGAAAGAAAAAACTGTATTTTCTACAAAAAGCTAAAAAGTCCATAAATCCCCTTAGTGTGTAGACTTCATGAAAAATTTCATGTGCCTACTCATATTGATTAAATTGCTAACTTATTGAAAAATACTGAAGTTTACTTTTTTTAGAAATATTTATGGGACAGTTGGTGACCATACATTTTATCTGATTACTAGACACACATTTAGCCCCTACATATAGACTAGCAAGTTTATTACAATGTGCACAATCTATATTTATACTTCTCACTAAAGCAGACTTTTTATAGATGCATAACCGAGGTATACAATCACAGTTATGCTCACATAATAATGCATATTATTGCTGGCCCTTTACTGAGTTGGTAGCCAAGACCAAACAAAACAACCCCAAAGATGTTTTAAAATTGTATTTAGCATTTGGTCCCTGATAAGGCTCTCTGTTCTGATGTGCAATAGTATGGGCTACAGAAATGTCACAAATTTTTCTAGCCAGCTTGTTACATCAAAAATGCTTCTGTGGCAACTTTAGGCACATTCTTAGAGAAAAAGAATGCAATGTAACCAACCAGCTAGCAGCATACAATGAACATGATTCATCCCATTTGAAATGGGAAAGATCAGTGAGGGCTTTTTTTCCAGTAAAGGCTTTTTCTGGCTTTTACTCATGATCTCTTGTAYATCAGCTTTTGCAAAATAACTCTTCCCTTGGCACAGGTACTTAGTTCTCTTCAACAATAACTAGCTAAAYTCTAGTGCAATCAGCTTAGATCAAAATTAGCTACAGCTCTTACAGATATATAGTTATAGACATAAAATAGATGAATACAAAATATTGAACCTGCATTAAGTGACCACCATRTTTTGATGCCTGAGCACATCCATACATTTGTTAGCACTGAAATCTCTCCTTTTCTTGTAAGATATGGAACACAGACTATGTGATGTGAAAGTATTTTTTTGCATTAAAAATACTAACCATGCTGCAGACTAGAAAAAATATTTAATTGACAAGTATWTCCTTTGGTTTAAACAGATAAATTCTCAGATTGAATTTTGTATAAAGGTGACCCAACATACCCTCTGTGTAGTCTGAGATTTGATTATTCCAGCATCCGTTGCTATTGCTTGTACCACCAAAATATTCAAGCTGAGATTCTCAGCTTTGCAAAAGCCTGAATCCACTTGAGATGTTGCAATTTTCAAGAAGATAGTGACAGAAATGTARTTACCTACCTGTCCCTGAAAGAAGTAATTACAGGTTTTAACACATGCCAGTGGATAGCCAAGTACATGAGTTAAAAAAAGTCAAGAATTCATTTTCCTGAAGAGATCAGGCTGGCTGAAAGCAAACAAGATTTTTGTCACCTTTGTAGCCCTGATAACAGAGACAGTAATTTGTGGATTTGTGTTCATTAGCTGAGTAAAATCAGTAATTGCTGAGATCCAACCTAATTGCCCAGCCAAAGGCCAACCTGTACAAATAAGAGATCAAACAGGGTGTGACATAGCAAGAGGGCTGGCAGAACATGACTTGSGGGAGACTACAGGATTCTTATTTCATCTTTCCCACTCACAGGTGGTACATACATGCCCAATGTACAGAGTTGGTGTTGCTCACATTTAAGAGAGACAGAGATTGTTGTAAATATTATGTGCTGAACTACATTTCCAAAAGTGCCACTTYTGTGTGTTCTGATAAGTGTATTTGTCCACATACACTTATCTAGCACACTAGTGCTTCAGTTTGTGCCATACAAGAGAAAAAGAAACCACAGAATCACAGAATCCTCGGAGTGGGAAGACCGCCAAGTCCAACTCTTAAGTGAGTGAATGGCCCATACTGGGGATTGAGCCCACACCCTTGGCTTGTTTGGTTTTTTTAGCACCAGGCTGTATCCAACTAAGCTAAACTCAGGGTCATGAGCTTTTTCATTTCCAACTTTCAAATGGACTAATAGGTTTTAAATTAGGTAACAGGTAACTAACAGGTATCTTAAATTTACTGAGTATTTTTGTTCCCAGGATTTCCATTCTTGATTCAAAGACAAATATATTTAGAACTAGGCCTGAAAAGACAAAAAAGCCTCATTACTCGATACTCATGTAGCTGGGGGATTAAACGTGCCTGCAGTACATTCCAATATCTGGAAACTTTAATAGACTAGTGACAAGGAACACAACTAACAGTAATTACTTGCATATTGATGTAAGCAAGAGACATTTTAAAATCCTTAAAATGGTGTTCTTATTTGGCCATTTGSTTTATTATGCCTATCAATTCTGAAATACTATAAACCAAAAAAAAAAAAAATCCAGTCATGATTCCTCATTCAATAACTGGACTTACTCTCGAGTATAAAATGTAGGTCTTTTTGCTGTATGGAAAATCCCATCCCTTTAACATATCTTTTGTAATGCATATGATACAGTATTAAAAAGAACTTTGTGTAGTGCATCCAAAACATTTTCAGGACAGTTATTACACTACAAATTTGTGACRCTAACTTGTAGGCTAGATGGAAAGCAAATTGCTACAGAAGACAAAAAGATATCAACATTTGTATCAATGAAGTTGATACAAGAAGTATCAATATCTTCCACCTTTTGTGATTTATTAAAACTAAACAAAACAGCCTTTACCTGCATATTTACACCTGCAGAAGTTATAATATCAGTAACTTCTCCCTAATTAAARGTATGGCTGCTACTTGCATATTAGTACAATCACCATTTTACTAGGTTTCGTTTGCTTACAAGAGCATGTTRGATCAAATAGTTTCCAAGGATGCTTCTGTAACTTTCATTTCTGTTCTCAAAATATAAACCACACCTTCCTAGAAAGGGATTTCATCAACAGGCAAAGATCTAAAGAAAACTGAATTAACACCACTATGATTTCTGGAAAAAATGAATGTTGCCTTAAAACAGTAAAGTTAACAACATTAAACAAACCATCTGTTTATCATTATAAATAACACACTGCTGTTATTAATTACAACTACAGTCAGTTTCTTAGCTTAAATTCTTCTTGTGTTGTAAGTGTAGGCATGTGAATATTATCATCATGTTCTTATCCCCACTCACATTTCCTATCAACTACTACCAAAAGATTTCCATTAAAAACAAAACAACARCARCAACTATCAACCCTGTATTGGCCACAAATGATCAAAGCAACAGGAAGAAGTTCATTAAGGACAAGGGCTATCTAGCATGTTTTAGTGGCCACTTATTTTGTGGTATGTAGACTCAGGTTGAGCTTCACCTGGATTTACTCTTCTTACACTCCCCATTTACTACAAAAGCTACCCAGCTAGTGAAGAGCTTTGACGAAGTTTTATGCAGAGTAAAATAAATTACTCATTATGTACGGAGTATAGGAAGCAGAAAGGCATTTCAAGCAGATTCAGTCTGAAAAGCACTGTAGTGAGACATCCAAGATTACGCTCYCTATTCCATCTCCATTCTGAAAATGATGGACATATCAAAAAAATCAGTGGCGGACTGATCAGTATTGAAAAACACATATTTCCTATAAAATATATTAATTATCTTTCTGTAGGTTCATAGTCTTCTTGTGAGTCTTTGAAGTAAGAAAGTCCTAGGGCAAAAATCATGACCAGCTTTGCATGATGACATTTTCAATCCAATAACCCAAATATCAGCACAAAGTTGAAAAACAGTTACTGTTTCAGGATGCAAAAATATCAACTATTAGCCATACACAACAAGGGAAAATTTTGGGGCGATAATATATTTGATTTGTTTCTATTAAAATCTAATCATTAATCATTATAACATAGAGATATAATAATAACTAATATAATATAATATAATGATTAACTTCTACAGCATGATGTTGAGTGACTCTCTCTCCCCTGCTTGGACAGGTGATGGAAATAGAAGGTTTGCTTTCTGTTTTATGGCTGAATACATCAGTATCAGAAATTATTTTAAAGCTGTAAGCAATCAACATCCAGGCTACTAAATTTATGAATATTTATATAAGAAAATAAAAGGAGAATAACACCTGAATACAGAACTACTTACTTCGAATTTGTCTCTTAATTTCCTTTGAAGCATCTAGCCAGTTCTGGAAAAAAATAGAACAAACCATAGCCAGTATTTAAAATCCTCAATGCCAAAAATATTTTTATATAATCTGTGCAACTTATTAAATAGCTCATAGCATTTCAGTTACTACTGATATATGCCAAGAGACTGTTTTGTGACAGAACTGAGACTAAGGAATCAGTAACATAGATTCACCGGTAACTCAGACAATTCTGTTTACTAGTTTTACCCATGTATGTTAGAAAACAGGTTATGTGAGAAACTAGGAAAAAAACCCCATTCATCTACAGTTAATGAGACCTTCCCTCACTGACTATTCAAACCTTTACTTCCCATTCCAGACACACACACACACATACACACACACACGAGCACATTCATGAATAAACACACGTGCATACAGCCAGCCTGAAAGCAGGCCTTGCAACATTTCAAGGACAGATTTGCAAATGTAGGGAAGAATTAGGAACTGCCTTGTGAGGCCAAGGACAATATCTGCTTTTTCACAGACCACTGCGGCTATTTGCTGTTTTAAAGTGTGAGGGAACACTTCAGTGTTTGCCAGCACAAAYGTTTCCAACTACCAATGTTTCTCACCTAATAACAAAGCAGTGTACCCTGGGCATAACATGACTCACCTTTTTCAGTCTATGGTACCAAACAAATTCCAGATGCAACACTGTTTCCCATTACCATATCCCTCAGTCTCTATTACAGGCTTTTGCACTAGGTCCACCTTATTTCAAGAAGACAAAAATGCTAGTCTAGTTTCACAGGTCCGTATGGATTACAATGTGGAACGATGTTTTTGCAGCAGTACAAATCTTTAATATAGATCATCTCTGCTGCTAGAGCTTGGTCCAAGTAGATTTCATCACAAGTGCACATTCATCTACATACATATCACATATGCATTTACCTAATATGTATATATTAAATGAATACTATTTACAAATTAGAAGCAACACCCCCTTTTTATCACTTATTACAGTTGTAATTTTTTTAAAACAGAATAATTTCACATTTCTTGCTTTTAAAGTCTGTGACCTCTATTTTCTATAGCCATGATAATTTTCCAGAGAAGGCGAAGTCCATAATATTTTTTCAAGGGAAGAGTTATAAAGGACTTCTCCAAAATCCTGAGTATGATTTATAATGCCCAAGTAAAAAAAAATTGCTTCTGTTAGAAGAACGTTGACATGGAAAAGCCTTGGAAGACAATATAAGTCTTCAAATAATTTTAACTGAGACTCACTTCAGCTACAGTTATCATCCTAGATGTTCAGTTTTGGCACTAATTCCACTCTGAAATTACACACAGCCATATTCTTGCAACTACAACAACTAGAAGTATCTTAAATTCTTATATTTTAGAGACAGCAAAAAGTAAATAAATCGAGAATAGAGCATGGCATAACTACAGCAGAAAACCAGGATTCCTGAGTACATGTTACTTTCAGGGGTTTATCACTGCAAAGCAGGAGAAAAGAACATATAATACAGAATATACTGCAAGAGGAGAAGAATAATCCTTCATTTTCTGATTTTTCCAAGCCTGAAATTAGCTTATTGGAAGCAGACTTTGCCACCAACTTTCATTACTGCTCTGTCAAATAAAATCAGATGCTTATGTTCCATTTATAGGTATAATTACGGGGGTGGGGTTCTTTTGCATCTGTGCCTTTGTTATGGGTAAAAACAAACACCACAAAAGAATCTACTCYACATTAGAGCTCTTAATGCAGAATAGACAGGTCTGTCTTTCAAAACAAAAGACGAAGTGTATACACACTGCTTTGTTCCAGTATGCAGAAATTATTTGTTTAATTTGTGAATGGTAAGGTTATGGATGAGACAAAGTAATGTATTGTCAAAGAACAAAATGTTCTCTACCAGTACAAAAGTATTTTGTACAAATCCAGAATAGCAGCATTTCCAGCTGGCACCCAAAACATAAGAGMAGAGGTTTTCTAACACTTCTGCAGACCAATCACTGTGTGAATGGAGTATTCATGAACTTTTGAGGGTGCAATGCAATGAAATCCCTAACTAAACTTTAGGCTGATAAATGTAACATACGCAAAAAAAATGAAAGAAATCATTAATTACTAAATTTTACTAAATAGTATTAAAATGTATATTAATGCTAACAAAAATCAGTCWGATTGGAAGACATAACCTCTCACCCAGCTGCACAGAACAGCCATGGAGMAGAGTTAATGGGACTCCTCCTCCAATGGTACCCCAATGGTGCAYTGGGGAGCAGCTCTAATTCAAGAGTGACTGGCATTCAGTTTCCACATGCCACAGCTGCCGTCGGGTTCAACAGCTGGCTCATAAAGGGGTGGCTGTGATTAGTGCACAAGAATGGGAAAAACACATCATTCAGCATTTAGTACTGACTGGCCTGGAGGTCAGGGATTGTGGTATTTTAATCTAAAAAGGCAACAGTCGTAACAGAATGGGGGAAAAAAGCATCAGAAAGAAATGGAACCAAAGTTAAAGAGTAACTCAAACTTACTACAGAGGTGAACAAAAAAGAAGGTTCCTAAAACCAGCAAAAGTAGGAGGTGGAAAATGTAAATTTGCTAGGAAAGAGGTTTTTTTTTGAAGTTTCTCCAAATAACACTAGGAATGTATTTGTATGAATAAGACAAAATCCAAGAATTGTGGTTGTTTAGTCTTCATAAGAAATGGGACCAGATTTCTCCAGAAGTTTTTAAATAAAAGTCTGCTGCTGTCCACAATTCAGGTGAGAAGTGATCTATTCTACTTTGAATAAGGACCCCATTATCAGATATTTCTCAATTTATGTAAATACATCACTTAGGAGTAACTGTTACAGTACCACTTCCACAGTCAATGGATAAAGAATTCAAGGATGCATTCTCACTGAAGGAGACTTCTGGATATAACCGGTCCAAGTGTGATTCAAAAGCCACTTTTGATTTAGATCAGGTTGCCCAGGTTCATATCCAGTCAAGTTTTTTAGTATCTCCAAGGAAAAAGACATATGAAAAAACAGATGAGGTCTTTTTAGAGTGGAACTATGTTTCTCCATTCAAATGACTGAAGAATACCACAAAAGTCTTAGCTTAACTAGAGGTCCATTAAAAAAAAAAGAGGGGGCTGGAGAGGATGGAAAAACATAATCCTACACTAATGCAGACTTTTCTGCTGTTTCAAAAACACAAGGCTCCCTATTTTACCTTGAGTAGATCACTCCTGTGATCTACTATCCTGTTATAGGTCAAAGATCCCAGATCTGGTATTAGACCTTTTCTCTTGCCAGAGATCAGACTGCTGTTTTATGTTATTTTGTGTTTTATGTACAGTATATTTTCAATAGTGAGCAGCACAAATAAAGGGACAAGTAAAAATCACAGATAAAATTAGGATGTTATTCAGCAGATCAACAGASATGCTCTTCATCGTTACACCAACTAAGTTTTTATGTCTAGAAATGGTTTACAAATCAAGAACAAAATTTAAATATCTAAGTAATAATATAAGAAGCTCATTTTGTATATGGGGAATTTTAATATAGAGGAATTGAATATTTTGCTCCAGACTGCACAGAAAGATTTGCAGCAAAGCAAGTAACTCTAGAAAACAGCTTTATCTGAGTGGAAKTTGTCAGAAATTCAGATTTATTCAGACCATGAAATTACAATTAATTTTAAACTAGATAGTGGTAAGTGGAAGATGACRGAAAATAAGGCAAAAAATTCTAGATGCAGCATGATATAATGATGCTCCTGCTACAAATTCAGGTCAAAAAGAAATATAATTTTTCCCAYTTCAAGCTGTGATTATTCATCTGAGTTTTTTTTTATGAAGAAAAAGATGAGCACAGGTATATATCTTGAGTTCATGGAGAAAGCAACAGGCAGCCCAGCCCACAAMAACTGTAAATGTTAAGATGCTGGAAGGATAAATTGAGTTTTGGTAATTAATGAAGCACTGACTGATTTAAGATCTTTCTCAGCTGAGCAATCTACATGTGCTCAACCATCCAACACAGAAGCAAATGCAAAAGAAGACCGAAGTTATCAAATGGTATTTAAGAAATCCTTTCAAATGTAGTCATCTCAAACACCATTCATTTGTAAAATTAGCATCCAATGTCAGTGATGGACCAGCTCCAGCCTCTTTACAAATGCCAAAAATTTTMTTTAAGCTTAAAGTTAATAAAAGAGGAACTCAAAGGCCTAGATATTACAGACTTATGGGCTAGATTCCCTTCATGTTCATGAACAAAGCATTCTTACACACGAATGAGAAAAGRCAGCAAAATTTACTTGTTTGTAATGGTAAACATATAATAAAATATGCCTCGCTAAACTATCAAAGTGAGTGGCAATGATGAAAAACGAACAAAACCCTCATAGACACTTACCTTCTGTTCTGAATTCTCATAAAACAACAATCCAAAATAGTCCTTTTCCAGTAAATTGAGGTGTTCACATACTTTATCAAACAGCACTTGTCCTTTTGCTCTTTTCTGAGGGGTGAGAAAGTAGGAAAAGAAGAAAAAAAATAGAAAAAATAAGAAAAACGAGAAAATTAATATCAGTAGATCAGCAATGTCCTCAATTATATTACTCAGGAAAATTTAAAGTATCAATAAAGCAGATTATAAAACAATAAGCTTCCTTACAAAAACTGCTCACGATATTTGAAAGCTGTATATATCCTTGACAAAATAATTGAGACATTTTAATTTTTTATTAATATAACAAAATAACCACAAAATAACAATGTAAATACCAAGAAAAATTCAGTACCTAAAACGATCTAAATAATTTGCACCATTGAGTGTCACTAAATAGCTTTAGTTTTTCTGGATCTTCCTCATTTTTAAAATAATGGAAGACTTCTTCGTTTAAGCCAACTTTTTCTGTATTATCTTCTAAAAATTAACATAGTTTCTACGGTCTTCATTTCTATTAACTTTAGGATTTTTATCATTTTGGTATATATCTCAGTGAATTATGAACAATGAGATACGAGTGCACTGAAAAATAAAATGTGTTATCTTCAAAAGACAAAAACAACAAGCAGACCACTAAAAGCTGATGCTCAGACCAGCAGAAGTAGCATGCATAAGCCAAACATATGCAACACATTGAGTTGTCTACACTGCAGTTGTTGGTTTGAAGGGGCAGAAAATAAGATTGCTGCTTTCTATTCATGTATTTCTGAAATCTCTCAGTACTGAACAAATGCATTTGATGCTCAAAAATCAGAAATCTTCAAGATGCTTATTCTTCCTAAAAATATTATTTGTAGAMGTCAGTAACAAAGGAAAAAAGCTGAAGAACACATTTTTATTTGAGGGGGGGTTAGTTTCACTATCGTAGCCTGCCACTTTATGACAGTAATTGAAAACTGATCATCATTTTAACACACGCTTCTTTAAAAGACCACTTGGTGAGCTCAGAATYAGTAGAGCTTAAGCAAATGGTCAGTCCTGAAATTTTATCTTCTTGTGACCTCACTAGCAGCCTTCCAGTACCTAGAGGGGACTTCTAAGAGACCTAGGAAGGAAAGGGCATGTAATAACAGGACAATGAGTAATGGCTTTAAACTTAGAGCAGGTGAAGATTAGATATTAGGAAGAAATCATTTACTGTGAGGATGGCAAGGCACTGGAACAGGTTGCCCAACGAAGTTGTGAATGCTCCATCCCTGGAAGTGTTCAAGGCCAGGTTGGATGGGGCTTTTAGTATCCTGGTCTGGTGAAAGGTGGCCCAGCCTAAGCAAGGGGTTTGAAACCAGATCTTTAAGGTAACAAACAACCCAAACCATTGTATCATTCTSTAGTCTYGTACCTGAAACTGGGAATKCGAACATTCCATATGTCAGTAGTGCCAGTAATGAAAAGCAGGCCCAGGCTCTACTTCTGTGTGCCAGGTTTTAAGAAAAAKATTTGTTGTAGTGGAGACAGCAGCTGACAGGAGACAAAGATTTAGAGCACAGAGCTCACAACGCATGCTCAGGGTGCGAAGATGAGAARTTCTTTCCACAGTTCAAATCTGAACATGACGGGCATGCAGCCTCCAGTTTGAACCAGCTCCTTCATGACAGCTCTGCTATTTGTGACATTTATCATTGAGGCCACAACATGGCCTTTTTAGAGGCCTGTCAGCTTATAGGAATTTTTGCATTTGCTTATCCTACAGATTTCAGTAGATGCCACACAGCACTGCCATTCCACAGAAACGCCATCGGCTGGCCCTGTGTAGGCCCTGGTGACACTGCAGCCATTGTCCCCGCAGACAGTGGCGGAGCTCTCCACGTGCCCCATTCTGCCACTCCCGCAGCTCAGCTCTGCGGCACAGGGTGGTAAAGGCCAAGAGCGGAGAGAGAGGGGAGGAAAGAAGGTATGCACTGAGAAAAGAGTGAAAGCATTGTTGGTTAAATCCTCAAGAATCCACAACTTTATTCAAAATCCCATCATCCAGCAGACATTCTACTCACAAAGATCAGAAAGCTTTCACAGAAGCAAAATTATAAAATGATCACATTTAGTAGCAGAAGTAGCAAGAAGTGGATTGTAGAAGTCAGAGTGACTTCTGAAATGGGGAGCGGGGAATTTTCAGTCTGTTTGGTACTTTCAAAGAACCTTACCCTTCAAGAAAGACAGATTACTACTTCCCCCAAGCAAGTGAGGTAACCACTTAATTTTCTTGACAGCTTCAGCTTCAGCTCAGTAAGAAAAATCACCAATACAGAAAAGTGGTAAATTGAAAGTAGGAAAAATATAAGGAAGAGAGAGTTCACAGAAACTTAGCTTGCACAGATGCATGTTATAGACACCACTTTTTTTCCAAAGTAATGTGCAGGTCAGTGATCACACCTTGCAAATGCAAGTTTCAATTATACATATTTCAGCCAAGGAAATCTATAGATTAGTGCCAAAGTAATACATGCTATCATATCAAGCCCACATCTGGAAATAGCTGCTTTTTTATAAAGTTCATATGCTAGAACCCACAGTTAAAATCAAGTCTTTGACATATGAAACATAAAGCAGGCAAATCTACAGGATTGCAAGTAKAACTGTAAAATATTGCACAGTCTCTTATTAGGATGTCATAATTAACAAAGAAATTGGATACACTAGCAATGTCCACTGTATCTTTAAATATCTTTTTGTGAGTTCATTCTTCCACATAAGGAAAAACACCACATCATGAAGACCAAGTTTGTTAGTCTACATTCTAGACAGCAGCAAAATGAGAAGACATTAGACCATCAGCAGCTCTGTTACAGATTCAAAAGCATAAGCAGCCTCTCAGTACCAGCAATGGTTTTCATTGTAAGATCCTACTTGTAAAATTCAAAGACTCCTGGTTATTCAATTTTTATATGTATTTTTTGTGATATAGTTTTTAAAATCTAAAGAAGTATTTAATTTGCAAAATCAAACTTTTCAAGTTCAATTTCTTTGTAAACCATTTGGGGACAGGCATTACTACACAGTTTAAATTATATGATAACACAGCTTTTCTGGAAAAAAACTCATGTTCCTAGTAGAATGTCTCTAAACATGAACTGAAGATAACTTTGTGATCCAGTCAGTTCAGAAGTTAGAAGTATTTTAATAGAGCAGGGGACTCTTAAGAAGGCAGCATCATGGTTTGCACACTCTTAAAAATTATTCCGTTTCATTTTCTACCAGATGTTTGAGATGCCAAGTAATAGTCAAAACCAATGTGTGATTTATAATCACTATCCTTATATATGTATGCATACATATACATTTATGTATAGGTATATACATACATATGTGTTTATAGCACAACACATACTAGCACTGAAAACAAGAAAATCTCCATGTTCCAAATTCTAATGCAGAAATGTCAGTAAAACTGTAAGTCCATACTTGCTCCCACAAGAAGGGAAGCACTACACGAAGAGGCTGAGAAAAGAGGACATGCTCACAGACCCAGCAGTTTAAAACACAAGAGTACTCAGATCTGCTGTGTTCTGTATTGCTGCCAAGTTATGCTTTCTTTCAAGTGAGAACATAGAAAGAACACATGTAACCAAGGCTATCCTAGTACGTTGTATCCTAGTACCAATTTCAAGCCTGTATTTAAACACCACAGATGACATCTCATAATGCAATCACTTYGTAAAGTGAGGCATGTTTCTGTTCTTTACCTCTTTCTCCCAAAAAGAGCAAACCAGAGCAAAGCAATTGCAGCCAACATTCACAGTGGAAATTTCTACGCAACTGGGAATTAGCATATCATGGATCTGTTTGGCTAAATAAGAGTTGGCAACTACTGATGCAATATAAATACTCACAGCTACCAGTTCTGTTCAATATATTTATCTATGATAGGGATGCAGGAGTTGAATGCACCATTAACAAGTTTGCTGATGATACTCAAGTGGGAGGTGCTGCTGATTCTTTTAGGGGATGAGAGACCTTACAGAGCAATGTGGATAGATCGGAGCATTGGGCAATCACTGGCATGAAATTTAACAAATGACAGATTCTGTGCCTGGAACACACAAGTGGAAATTGGGAAAGGAGCGGCTGGAGACCAGCCTTGCAGAAATGGATCTGGGGTGCTGGTGTGCAGCAGCTCATTGTGAGCCAGCAAGGAGCCCAGGCAGCCAGGAGRGAAACCCCATCCTGGGGTGCACCAAGCACTGCTCAACCAGCCAGACAAAAGAGGTGATAATCGTGCTCTATTCAGCATTGGTGTAGCCACACCTTGAGTACTGTGAGCAGTTGCAAGGCCCACAAATAAAGAAGGACATGAAGGTCCTTGAATATTTCCAGAGGAAAACAACAAAGCTAGAGGGAACATCCTATAAGGAGTAGCTTAGGACTTCGAGCTTGTCTAGGTTAAAGAAAAGGAGGCTGAGGGGGCAGCCTCATTGCTCCCTACAGTTTCCTGAGGAAGATGGAGAGGGAGGTGCTGAGCTCCTCTCCCTGGCATCAGTGATAGGATATGTGGGAACAGTTCAAAGCTACACCAGGGAAGGTTTAGGTATGACATAAGGCAACATTTCTTTACCACAAGGATGATCAAMCAGTGTAATAAGCTTCCTAGAGAGGTGGTTGATGCCCCAAGCCTGTCAGTGTTTAAAAATCATTTGGACATGCTTTATCTTTTGGTCAGCCCTTTTGACGTGGGTGCTTCCTTACCCGTAGGGTGGGTCATCAGACAGTGGAACTTGATAACCARTGGGGGTCACTTCCACTTGAAATAGCCTATCTTATTCTTATTCCTGCCTTCTCCTTTCTCTAGCAGTACATATAGAGGAAATCKTGACATTTTCTCCCAGTCCTGCACTAGCAGAAAGGATTGAATGGGTAATCATGTCTCAGCCTASGCTGTCTCTGAGTGGGAAGGAGGTAGGAAGGAGGCATGTACTGTTTGATGGGCAGCTGTGAATCATCTCTAACTAACTTAATCATTTGATGAAAATTGGGGAGGGGAAGCCAACAAAAACAAGTAAGGTACAATTTTTAAAAGT